CTCTTAATTAGTGAGAGATCCATATCTTAACAGTTTGTTATAAAAATAGGGTTTAGTCCTAATCACTCATGTGCACTTGTAAACATGTTGAAACATCACTTATTTTCCTACTACACTCTGTCTTTCTTTGTCTCTCTTCATCTCTTAATCTTTTTGTTAGTTTAAAGAACATTAGTTTTTAATTAATTAAGATAAATGAAGATAGAAAAGGAAAAAGATCAATTCTGAATTTACTGTTAAAATAAAAAAAAAAAAATTTAACATGTGGAACCCAAAATTGAACATAATATATCTGTATATCCACTAATATATAGATTTTTTTTTCCTAATATACTGCGTTGCATTTCGACATTCGGGTCTTGATAGTATTAAGATAAAAAATTTTAATAATGACGATTTCAAATTTCCGACCTCTAATTTTACAAATAAAAGTTAAGGATGCAATACATTTTTATTTTACGTAAATTAGTTATTCATTATTTTTATATCACGGTATTACACTATTATTTTATAATTTTGTGAGTGAATATTAATTAATATATCATATAAGATTGTTAATAAATAAATATGAAATTGAAGGAGCTAAATATTTTTCCTACATTAATAAAAATTGAAAAGCTTATGTAGCCCACCCCATGGGGTAGTGAAGGGAGGACCCCACTTGGTAGGGGAAATCGTACTACTCTTTGAGGTATACTGCACTCAAAAAAACAAGTTAAAAAAAATAGTGATAATTTGATTTTTTTTTTCATTATCATAATAAAAAAAATGTTCACTAAAAGAATGTTTTATAATAATTTAATTATTAGAAAAAATAAAGAAGCTTAACTGAAAGCAGAAAAAAAAAAAAAGTGTCTTATGTGTCCAATAAGAGAACTTATATAGAAATTTTTAATAGTGAAATTCCAAAACTTTGCTTTTTTTAATTTTTTAAAATAGAATTAGGAGGTATGATGTGGATTAATCCTCTCCCAATCGTAGAATATAGAGATTGTTTGGATTAATGGAATTTGAGTGATGAAATTTAAATATACCGTAAATTTATCAAATTCTTTTATTTTGATTAAGAAAAAAATAGATAATAATCTGTAGACTTGATGAATTTTATGATGGTCTCAATTCCATCATTTTAGAAAAAAAATAATTCACATCTCAGAGATGGAATTTTTTCAATTCCATCGTTTTTTATTGATGGTGGAACTTAACACAATTAACTCTATTTCAAAAATATTTTTCAAATCTTTGACTTCCATTTTCCTACTAAACAATGAAATGTGAAATTCCAATAGTTTTACAATTCACAGATTCTACAGGGATCGAGACCGCTTACTATATTAACCCACATATCGTTGGTTGGAACACGTTACCTCTTAAATAGTACTAAATTTACTATCTGGCTAGAGTGATTGAGATTATTTCTCCGACAATTACAAGTATTAAATTTGAGCTTTGAGTATGAAAATTATCACATTGAGATAATCATCTCCTTATATGGATCTGTCAATATTCGGATCGAACATAATTAGAGCTCAATAGACTTTTCGAATACCATTGGTCATAGAAAATAAAAAATCTCCCAAATATTGCTAAATCCATAAGGAAAATTAGAAAAATAAACATGTGTGCACTACACCACATATGGTGGAGATGCATTTCCCCCTCTTAAAAAGGCATATTTGTATATTTTATCTCAATGTCTAATCCTAATGACACCACAACAGTAAACACTAATACTCAAAATTAAAGAACCACTATAGTAAATAGTTATTATTTGTAGTTGATGATAAGGAATTATTTTTTAGGATTTCAAATCAAACTTTGATAAATAAATAAATAAGGTTAAAATGGTTAGGGGCATTTTAGACATTTTAATGTCAATTCCTTTAAAATAGTTGATTAAGTGTTTATTGGTTATAACGTACAGATTAGGTTTTTTTGTTCTTACCTATTAGAGACGGCTTTTCTTCTGTTTTTATTTTTTCTCCATCTAAACTAAAGAAAGATATATACATATATACCCTCCTGTGGTGTAGCACATGGCTTCAATCATGCACCTTATCATCTTAGCTGTACACGTAACCTTCACTTAGATCACAATTGATGGGTCCATATTATTAAATCAAATATTTTGCTTAACCTAATTGTTCTTTCTTGTGGGACCCTTAATTAAATAATTATTTTAATTTACTAGTGAATGACACTGAAAAATGCTTAGAATTATAGGTGTATTTAATTTACCCAGTGTTATATTGACTAATCAATAATAATTCATCGTATTGAAAAAAATTAATAATAATCGCCGAAATCGTTAAATCGGTTACAACATTATAATAATAATTATAATATAAGGTGTATTCAGTAATTTACAATTCATTTGTAAGATATATAATAATTTATTAATTAATACAGTAGATTACTATTAGTCAATCATAAATTTATTTGGTGGACTAAGTCGAGATAATAATTTTTTTCCTAAAAAAATAAGTGTTTTTAACCTTTTAGTGTATGTGATTATTTGCATATTTCACTCCTTCAATTATAAAAAAAAAAAAAAAAAAAAAAAAAAAATACAGTTACATTACTATTAGTCAATCATTTAAATTATTTGGTGGACTAAGTCGAGATAATTAATTTTTTTCCCTAAAAAAATCAGTGTTTTTAACCTTTTTAAGTGTATGTGATTATTTGCATTATTTCACTCCTTCAATTATAAAAAAAAAAAAAAAAAAAAAAAAAAAACTTAATATCATAAGTTCTTAGTTGGGAACCCACAAGGAAGAAACCTTCACTACATTTTCTTTTATTTATTTAATTTTAAATTCAAATTAATCAAATATTAAAAAAAAAAAAAAAAAAAAAAAAAAAAACTAATATCATAAGTTCTAGTTGGGACCCACCAAGGAAGACTCACTACATTTTCTTTTATTTATTTAATTTTAAATTCCAAATTAATCAAATATCCAAAATCAATATGTATAGAAATACAAATAATGGAATATTCTCAGCAATATTGTGATGTTCCATAATGTAGACCAGTTTTGAACATTGATCCTAAATTCCTTTTATTATTATTATTATTTTTCTAAAATTTACACTTGAATTATTTTTATTAATTAGAAAATAAAAATTGGTAATAGTGATATTCCAATCTAATGCTCATTTTCAGTTTAGATTTACATTTGTTGATTTTTTTTTTAAATGTGATTTTATTAGTCTGAAATAAGTATTAAATAAATGAGGTTAGTACATTTTCTCAACTAATGAAGTTTATTACAGTGATGACTTGGTAATTAAAATATTAATATAAATTGGTTTTGTAATAATAATGATTTTCAAATTGTAAATTCAATGATTTTGCGATTACTATTTTAATCTATAACATCGTCTATATTCTAGCTAATATATAAATTTGACTTCGTGATATTTGAGTATATTTTAGTTAGAACAAAACTAATAAAAATTAGATACTTTAAATTTTTTTATAATATTAAAAAATAAATTTGAGAAAACTATTAATTATAAAAATGAATTTTAAAATGATATTATATTTCTAAAATTGATCATGATAAATCTTATAATTACTTAGAAAAATAAATATATTTAATTGGGGTAATTAAATAGTGTAAATGAAGTGTACTAGATAAATAAAAAACTACACAAAGTCATGTTATGCCGTGACCTTGTGATTGTATTGACCAATTGTTAGTGAATTCTAGAAGATAGGTGATGGTGAGCCGTTGGATTGGAACAATTTTTCATCATGTTAGGAGTTGTAAATAAGTTAGTTTTAGGTCAAAATCTTGAGATGAAAGAACAATCCAAACCAAGTCATCAAAAATTTCATTACTTAAATTTTACAATGGACCAAAAATTAATTCATAAATACACCAAAATGAGCCAAATTCATGGATGCCCACTATGCATTATAGAAAACTATTTTGTCCTTTTTATTTATATGTAATTATTTTTATCAATTTAATTTTAATCGAGAAAAAAATTATTAAAATCTAGAGTAAATATTGAACGAGAATATTGGAAATTCATTTTTAAAATTAAAATTTAAACTTATATTATTCGAGTGACTGCAATTATTATTAATTTATTTAATTATCTTATAGAGTTCGTGCTAAGTTTATTCTCACATGAAGTCCGAGATTTATAATACTTTAATTTCTAAATAATTTTGTAATTTAAATGGTGATTCAAGCATTGGATTTTTCAATTTTTGGCTTTTTTTTTTAAATGATATAATAGTAGTGATAATTGATAAAGTAACATGCTCTTGAAGTTAAGGAACATGACAGCCTCATAGATCACCTTTTGATACAAATTAAAACAATCAGCCATTGCCAAAACTAAATGTGGTGGGTCCTAATTTGACAATATTTAATCAAATCAAAAGGTGACAAATGCGTTTGTGAGCACGAATCATGACGAGGGGGTGGTGACTTTAAGGCCTATTATACTTTCATAGAAAAGACCCACTTAATATTAGTATTTATCAACTCCACCATGTCATCACATATAATTTTATAAATTAACAAATAAATATTATAATATCCTCTTTTTTTTTTCTTTAAAAATAAGGAAAATAACAATAATAAAAGAAACAAAAAAAAAAACTTTGTTCCTTTCTCCTTTATTATTATTATTTTTTTGGTGATTTTCTGGCTATAGCAAAATTTTATTTTTCCATATTTCTTCAATTTTTCTCTAAAATTGCATTATTTTTCTCATTTTTTCAACATTTATATTTTATGAGGTTTTGAAAATTTACACAAACTCACAAAGCAGAAAAGTCTATAGTCAACAAGGATATGTGCAAATAAATATTCCTCTAATCCTCAATAGCTAAGGCTAAGTTAAAAAAAAGAAATAAAAAATTACTTAAAAAATAAAAATGAATAAAAAAATAGAGAATTGAAATCTTTCAATAACATCAAAATAAAGCAAAGGGAAGGAAAGCTCCAACATTTACTTCATATACAATACAATACAATGCAACAATAAGAGGTCATATACACACACATACACCCTCTCTTTCTGTCTCTCTTTCCCTTTCTCATTTTCTCTCTCTCTTTCTCACATTTCACCTTCCTCTTTTTTCACAGCCATTTATGAGATTCCTCTAAATGGTCTTTTCTCTTCTCCATTGGATTGTACAGATTCCCAGCTGAAAATACCCATAAAAAATTTTTAATTTCTTGTTGATTTTTTGGTTGTTTTCTTGCTGTTTTGTTAATTTTATTGAACTGTAAGTCATATACTCTTCTGGGTTTCTTGGCTTTTGTTCTTATTTGCAAACTCTGTTTCTGGGTTTGTTGCAGAAAAGCCTTATATGCCCAGTAAAATATGTGCCATATAAGCCTTGAAGATAACAAACAAAATTTTATAGAATTTTAATTTTTTTTAAAAAAAAATTTGCAAACTTTTTGTTAATAAATTTAGTTTTTATTCTTCTTTTTGTGAATTTTCTTTAAATTTCAATTTTTTCACATAAGGAAAGAGAGAGACATGGGCAAGCAAGGGCCTTGCTGTCACTGTGGAGTTACAAGTGAGTTCTTGTTTCTCCATTTTTTTTTTTCAATATGGAAGAAAAAAGAAATTAGATTCCTGAATTACTGTACTTGTTTTCGATAAATAATTGTAATTGATTTGAGTTGTTTGGGCAAAATAATTATATCATTGAACAGAACAGCTATAAGCAACAAGGAAGAGATTACCTGGACAAAGATAATAAATTGTGAATATTTGCTGTTCTTATGTGCTATTCTTTTTGTACTTGGAATTTGAACTACCGGTGTCTTTGGTTCTTTAAATATATCAGATACTGGTTTTATCCTTTGGTTTGATATTGTATTTATAAAGGTTTATGTTTTCTTCTTTGACCTTCTAACAAAATTTGGACATCTTCCCTCTGTCGATTGAGTCTGTGAGTCTGTTGAATATTGGCCAATTACATAGTTTTTGATTATTATGTCCTCTTGTTTCAGTTTAGGAGATTGATGGACCCAATACTTAGTCAAATTACAGATGCTGTTTGCGTTTTCCTTGCAAACATAATAAATTCAATGATAAGATGCAACTTTTTTCATGCGTTCTATTAACTTCTCTATAGAATTGTTCCTTGTATACCTCTGCTACCAAAGCATTGATCTCCAATTCATTTTAAATCCCATCTGGGGTTTTATTGCTGCTACTAAAGCCTTTTAGCTATTCAATTCAGCTCCTTTGAAGGGTTCTCTCTACTGTCATACTCTTGAATCAGCTCTAATCTTTGAAGTGATCATGCAATTCCTTTATCTCTATAATGGACTTTGTCATAGAAGAAGTGTTCAGTGTAGAGCAATTGTTTGAAGTATATGGTTGTATGTCTGAACTTAAAGAGATCACGTCATTTTAGTTTTCTGCCACTTCAACTCCAAGGAATTGAGTGGCTGTGTTTATTCGTGGCAACATGGTAAACATCTAAACATCCTTATGATTGTTTTCATGAAAACAGGAAAGCAAGAGCTTGTTGCTGTTATCAATAGCTAGAACCTTCTGGTGTGCCTTGTCCGTTTCTGTTGTTACAATTTAAACTTGAAAACTAAGGATATGCTAAGTGACTTTTGGGAAATGTTTTTGCGTATTAATTCTTATTGTCTGAAAGAAAAATCTAGAGAAGAATGCAGGTTCTTCTGAGGTTGTTCTCACTCAGTTGTATTCCTTTGGGTGGGTTTCAACTGGTGTACTGCTGGAGAAGGTCTAATTTGATATCTGTTCCATTCTCATTTGAATATTGTTCTACTGCTCTAAGCAAACCTAAGCTTTCATGTTCACTGTTCCCTGTGTTTGGTATGCACAGCCCCTACAAAGAAGCATTTGCTCATAACCTACTGGCAATAAAATGGTTAAGGGAGTTGCATACTGTTGCCTTGTCATTTGGCTCATTATTGTTGAAAAGATTGCAATTTTAAGATTTGCTATATGAAGTGGAGAACGAATGAAATTATTTCTGTTCAAAGAAATGAACTAACATTAGGACCCCTTAGTGTCATACGTATTCCCTTTTGAGTGTGAAAAATCAATTCACCAGTGATGAGAAAATTCTCATGTCTGTTTCACCTTCTCCTTCTATCGATTCGGCTTCTTCTCGCTGGGAACTCTTTGTTTTGATGTTCCTTTCCCTATATCTATAATTAGTATGTAATGACCGACAACTCTTTATTCTGAGCTCATGACTACCTTCTTCTTCATTGTATGCTTATTTTCAAGCAAAAATGAGGTTCATTTTTGCTGTATTTTGGAATGGAGTTACAAGACATCTGTCAGAACCTTGTCTTGGTTTGAGACCATTATCCTTGGACAATATTGTTGAATATATATATGGAATAATATTATATATATATATATATATATAATATATATAATATATATAGATATATATATAAATTGGTGGTTGTTGTGTAGTAAATATAAAGCCAGGTTAAAAAGACACTTTTCTTCATTAAGCTGCTTGCACTAGCCATTTATATAGATATATATAAAATTGGTGGTTGTTGTTGTAGTATATATAAAAGCCAGGTTAAAAAGACACTTTTCTTCATTAACTGCTTGCACTTAGCCATAGAGATGATGTGCCTAACCCTTTTGCTAATGCCTTCTTCGTAGCGTGTGCATATGGAGCTTCAGATGATTAATATTTCCCTTTGTTCATTTTATTAGTATAACTTGCATGATCAGTTATTGTTGTGTGTAAAATTATTTATTATATATATATTTCTGACAACGAATCTTTGCTATAGGCACGCCTCTTTGGCGCAATGGACCTCCTGAGAAGCCAGTGTTATGCAATGCTTGTGGATCTAGATGGAGAACGAAGGGAACTCTTGCAAACTATACACCACTCCATGCTCGTGCAGACCCTGATGATTACGAAGATCACAGGATCTCAAGAGTGAAGAGTATATCTATAAACAAGAACAAAGATGTGAAGCTGCTCAAAAGAAAGGCAAATTATGATAATGGGGTTGTGGGAGTAGTTGGTCCTGATTACAACCAAGGTTACCGAAAGGTTTTAGATGAAGATACTAGTAATAGATCAAGTTCTGGGTCAGCCATATCCAACTCTGAGAGCTGTGCACAATTTGGCAGTGCAGATGCAAGTGATTTGACAGGTTGGTTACTCAGTATATCTGATTTTATCGAGCAAATGACAGTATTCAGACAATTGTGATATTTGAGCATTATATATTGAATTTAATGGAAGAGCTGTATATTCTGGTTGGTATGCCCAATTGCCTGTGAATGTACATGAACAATTCGGTTGGTGCAAGGAAAAATTGGATCAGGAAACAGTTGTAAATTGGAAGAAGATAGTAAAGGAAGATGAATATTTAACTGTTGTGAGAACAGCAAATTATAATTGATAAACGTATTATATGATCTTCTCAATAAACATAAGTGGCTCCATTACTTCTCTAGGATTTTGCTGTGCTTGAAGCTAGCTTCTATTTCTGTCTACTTTGTATTGAAATACAACCCTTGGTTAAGACATCTTCAAATGGTACTTATAATATGCCAGAGTGGAATAACTGGAATCTGTCTTGTAGACTTGGATTCCCTAGATTGAAGCTCTATATATAACTGCAAATAATGCTAAATAACACTTAATATTTAATGATTTGTACATCTTCTCATGACATATATGACCTCTGCAGATACTGTTGTAATATCCTTGTTACTTTTAGTTCTCCATATCAGTAAGAGTGATCTCAGGTTTCTGAATCAAATGCAGAAAAAGCTATATGCAAGTTTTGTAATTGTGCTTGGTGATGTTGATTCTAAGTACTTTTTCATTGCTTTCTCAGGTCCCGCCCAGTCAATTGTGTGGGACACAATGGTACCCTCTAGGAAGAGGACCTGTGTCAATCGTTCAAAACCATCTCCAGTTGAGAAGCTTACAAAGGAATTATATACTATTTGGCATGAACAACAGTCTTCATGCTTCTCTGGATCATCTGAAGAGGATTTGCTTTTTGAGAGTGAAACACCAATGGTTTCTGTTGAGATAGGACATGGAAGTGTTCTCATTAGACATCCAAGCTCAATAGCTCGAGATGAGGAATCTGAAGCTAGCTCCCTGTCTGTTGAGAACAAACAATATTCGACCAATGAAGCTTATTCACATTCTGCGATCCTTCCTGTACATAATGAAAACAGAAGTGTTAATATATCAAGTCTTGCAATCGGAAAAGCTAAGAACCCTACTGGACCAGGGATGCAACAAGAGCAACTTAAGAGGTAATTCCCCCCGTATGTTTTCAAAAGTTGCGGAGGCTATTTCTTTGCAAAGAGTATTTGTTTTTATAGTTATGCATCTAAAGTATAAACATGGGGTCAGTGTTTAACTCAGATAAATTGTTCCTATCAAAACCACCTTCTAGAGATTGACTGGAAATGTAAATGTTAATAATGATATAGATATTAGGTGTCTAACGTATAGCAATTAGTCTTAAAAAAAGTTCAAATGGGAAAGTGGTCCTTCCGTTGACCATTTGCACCTAAAATTCATGGACATTGATTGTCCACTATTATTACAACTATTCATCAAAAAGCTAGTGGCTGGATGGATTGAAGATGAAAGAGGCAGTAGTACATTTAGGAAATCTGCACAATTGGAGTCCAATAATCTTGCTCTTTCTATGTTTGACATTCTGCTGTTTGGAAATTTCAGGGACAAAACTCCGCATGAAAGGGCACAAGTCTTGGGAAGTCATAATTCACCGCTGTGTAATGTTGATTTAAATGTAAGTTGGGATGTGATAGTTTCCTAGTGCAGACTTATCTTATCTGCACGTAGTCATAATCTTACATTATGTTATCCAGAAGCACAATAAGCATTATTGATTGCATGACATGTGCGCTTGCAAATGGAGAAATGGTTCATATATACTGTATTAATTTCCAAGTCCAAGGTTTTACATTTTTCTTCTAACATTTCCAGGGTAAACCAAGCAGTTCTTTCCCAGTATTTGTTTATTCTAATTTACAAGAGTATTCTTACTTCTTAGTCTTGCTTTTCAGACATGTCCACAGCGGGCATATTGCTTCCATAACCATTGGAGCATGTATGATATTTCTTTTCCTTTGCATCACAGGACATTCTTAATTTTGAGGAGTTTGCAAGATCCTTAACTTATGAGGAGCAGCAGCAGTTGCTAAAATATCTACCTCCTGTTGATACTACTCAACTGCCAGACAGGTCAGTGTTGTGGTGTATTAATGTGTATACAAATTTTCTAATATGCATTTACTGTGTGTTAGTATAGTGAGACACTGAATGGTCTATTTGGAACAAGCCACTGTATATGCTGTTATTGGTTAATATTTGTTGATCATGTGCAAGTTTGGTATCATAGAATTCAAGAATGAGCGATCATGTATTCCATCGGCCTTTATGCACATTGCTTTTTATTGGAACTGCAAAGGAGTTGATTCATGATATAGAATTAATGATATTTGTTTTTCCTATCATGCAGCATCAAAAGCATGTTTGATAGCAATCAATTTAAGGAAAATATGTCTTGCTATAAGCACCTGCTCATGGAAGGGGTCTTTGACCTCTCCTTCTCAGGAGCAAAAACTGAAGACTGTAATACTTTGAAAAGGCTGACACTATCCAATCTGTCAAAATCCAAATGGGTGGAGCAGTATCATCAGCTCAAGGTTGGAATTACTTTCTCACACCTGTTTGTCTTTACATAAGAAAACTTTGTTCCTTCGAGAGTGGATCCACAAATTTACTTTGTGTCTCTACTTGGCTGCAGAAGTGTAAAAATAGTACGGGGAAATCTCTTGTTGGAAGAGGACCAAACCTTGTTACTTCGTGCAATTCAATTACTGCGAAGCGATCTCGTGAAAGCCTAGGTCAAAAAATTCCAGGTGAGCCTATATTTGCCAAAGCGGGGCTTCTTTCCTTATTATATTGGATATCAAGGTTGAATATTGAAAAGATTTTGATTCAAAATTCCAAGAGAAAATCATTTGCTAATGAGTGGAACATGCTAAAATAATTAGGGAAAGCTGCATAAATTGGTTCCAACCTAAACTGGAATTTGGAATTCTGAAAGCCAAGATTTATTCTAATACTTACCTTATAGTATCAGTTAAAGTTCTCTGAGCTGTGAAAATGAAGTTGCTTACCAATGCTTCTCCCGTCATTTTGGTTAAGTTGTCTACATCATAAAGATTTTATGCATGGAGCACATCTATTTGCTCACACAATGAAACATGCTATTATGCTTACTACTACTGGAAGTTCACACTTCCCTGGATGTACTTAATCATGATCTCTGTGGAGGCAATTGGCGGTTTTGCCTTTGAATTTCTTCTCTCTTCTTTTGTCTTTATTTTGGTCTATCGTTTTGACTTGTGTGTTTGTGTGTTCGGGTTGTGGTGGGTGTGGGGATACCTGTCTCACATGCCATATGGATACATGAGCCATTATGGTAGAGTGTTTGCCTTATAGTGCAGGAGATCAAGGGTTCAAATTTTGGCAGCTCTGTCCTCTTTAAGAATTTTCAATATTATCAAAACAAAAATATATGGATACATGAAATCCAAATGCCTTTGATTATATTATGAGCACCGAAAGTTAATGTGAGTGTGTTTTACGTGCATTGCATTTACATTTAATCATTTTCACCATTTGAGTTGCAACTATTCTCAAAAGAAGTTTTTTCCTTTCATCAGAAGTAAAGACAATGAAGAGTCCCAAAAGAATTAACATGAAGGCTACTTATGAAAACAAAGAAATCATGGACAATGATTGCTCTTGCTTTAGTCCAAGAAGTCTATTTGCGTTGCCTTCTGATGGTGGCACCCTCATGCTGGATTCTCTTAATTATGTTGATGAAAGTTCGGATCAGGATCTGCTGCTGGACGTGCCATCCAATGGTTCATTTCCACAAGCAGAGCTCCTTCATCCAGCTTTAAGTTTTGGGCAGCAGGCAAGTACTAGCAGTAGCTCAACACACCCGCATCTAGTTCGTCCCTGACAAATGTTTGCCAAGACTTTGATCATTAGGGCTATGAATAGGTTCACCTTTTGCCAAATTCCGCAACTAGGTACAATCTGTGAATGAGGTTTGATGGTTGCTGTTTCTTTTTCCCTTTGATCTTTGCAAACTTGGTATGCTAAGGGACAAATTTTGGATGGGGTTTTTTTGTATAGGTTGATAACAGATTGTAATATATAGCTAAAAATGCACAAGAGTTGGTGATTTGAAGAGTGGTGTATGCAGTTTTAGTCTTGTTATTGCAAAATAACATAGAGATAACTCTCTCATTGGCTTGTCTTTACAAACCTGTAATATTGCCAAGTGAGGGGAAATATAAAAAAAAAAAAAAGGAGAAAATATCTTTTGTAAAGATGCATGCGAAGAAAGTTGACATCAGCTCTTCTTTCTGCTTTTGTGGAAGGATATCTAACTAGTTCGATTGGTTGTTTGCTTCCAGCGATAAGATAATCTTCCAGCGGACCACTAAAAGATAAAAAGAGATACAAATACTTATCCAAGGAATATAATGAAGAGAGAAATCAATTAGGAATTTTGTTTGTTGAAATTGTTGAGTGGTGTAAAGTTTTTAACCTTCATTTGTCCCTCATCTTTGCTGTGGATAAGTGAGTCAAATTGGAAAGAATAATAGAGATTATTAGAGATTCCTCCAAGTTCCAACCAATGTTGACTTGCCTCCTCTTTTTTTTTTTTTTTTTTTTTAATAATAGAAGATTTATTAGAGATTCCTCCAAGTTCCACCATTATGTTGACTTGCCTCTCTTTTTTTTTTTTTTTTTTTTCCTGTTGCGTTTCTTAATTGGATATATGAATGTTTTTATCTGTCCAACTTTTTCAAAAACTGATTCTATTTTTTTTTTTTTTTTTTTTCCCTGTTGCAGTTTCTTAATGGATATATGAAATGTTAATCTGTCAACTTTTTCAAACCTGATTCTAGTTTATTATAGTTATGGATCCAAACGATAATGTATTAATCATATACATAATAATTTCTTCTTCCTTTTTTGGTTTCCAACTTTTTTTTAACCAAAATTTTCCAGAGAGAACCTTTAAGCACTACCCAATTGGTTGTTACCTGCCTTATGACAAGTTTTCTTCACATCAATAATTTGCATAGATTTTCAGGATTGAAGTTTAACCACCCAGGAATTGTTTTAATTGTAAAAAAGAAATGTCAAATTCAAGAAATGAATTTGGAGCCTGGGCCCCAGTTGACAGGTGTATGTTAAATGGCTATCTGCTTGACAGATGCAGATGTTAATATCTTAGTCGTAATTTGACAATATCAATTTTGCTTTGACAAACGCAGAAGATTTTTTTTTTGGGCATGCAAATAGAGAAATCATTCAATTGAAGACAATTCAGATCTACCCTAACTTATGCATTGGAAGTTATTATCACATGTGAATAACTACATGCAATCTAATTTCAATAATTCCTCAAAGTGGGACAGATTAAATTAAATAATTATCTCATAATGTTGACATTCCTGAAAACATGCTTGGAACTGGGTCAAGGATCACAAGCTATGATTCCTAGTCTTTTCTTCTGATGGGGTCTATAAAATGAAATATAAACAACATTATCACTTTTTCACTATAAGGATAAATGTGATGAGAAAAGGACTGATGACCTAAATTTAATGTGAAAGAAAACCTGCTCATATATCTTCAGAAGCTCCATTAATTTCATCAGAAAAAAAGAAGCAACATTAATTATTAAAACCAATAAAAGAACATCCCAGAAGTCAATGTTGTGCATCCCACCATATAGAGAAGCTTCTAACAGTGCATGTATCATAGTGGGCCAATCATAGTAATGGTATCTTAACCAAAGAAGCCAATATTTTTGCCTTTGTAACAAATTTTTGGTTGTGATTCATGGACTATCCTTCTATGCACATATAAAATCAGATATTATAGGTTACCTTGATTGAGGGGAGACAATGGAGAAAACAAGAGTAACTTTCACCTTTCACCTTATCTCCTTTTCCTTGGACAAAAAGTCAAGTAAGGTAGCGGTATAAGCTTTTGTCCAAGGCTTTTAGTCCATGTTTAAGCCAAGGCTTGAAATTAGAAGACTACTACTTCCAAAAGATGTTTCAATGCGTAAATGGAAATACAGAAAGGTAACAGGAGTCTGTTTTAAGGAACAAGAGTGATTGCGAAACCAAGTAGCTCGTTAATGATCAACAGTAACTGCAATACAAAGCTATAAACAAGACTTAACTGTTTCTATGCCACAAAATATTTCCTTTTGCAACCCTTCATAGCCCATCTTAAAAAATCCCCAAAACATCTCCTAACATCACGTCCGAGAAACGAGCTAATTAAGCAGTAGAATGACATGACTTCTAGTTTTCTAGTTTTCCAGTTCAAATTGTCCATTGCAGCCCAAAATAGAAGCTGCAACTATACAACTCACCTCTATGGAAGATTTTAAATGAACCCAACATTCAACTTGAAACCTACTCCTTTTCATCAGTCTCCGACTTCGTTTCTCCTACAATGCCTAAGGAAAAGTCATGCCCCTCCTCTTTGCTGCTTCCAAGACACTTAAATTGTTCAAACTAGGGTCACAGTTATAATCCTTAGTGAGTATGCTTAATACATTCAGTACTATGGAATCGGTATAGATCTTGCGATTGTTTCCACGCAATGACAATGGCAATGCACGTCGCGCTCTACCAATTTTACGCTTTTTACTGGAATTGACACCTGTAGGACCAACATACCTGAACTTTTCAATATCATCGATGCTCTTTGGTTTATTGGCATTCTGTTTTTCAGGAGAATTTACAATCGAATATCTCTTACTAATTTTGCATAATTTATCAGCTTCACTGTCCTTAATCTCTTTGCTTCTGCCTTCTACACCATCTTCATTAAACCCTAAAACAGCAGTATTTTCTTGAGAATGCGATTCTGATGACCTGATATCAAAATCCAGCTTTTTCTTTGCGGAGCTACCTTCATGAAATTCTAAATCACCAACAGTGACTTCTTCTCCAATTTGGTGATTTTGCACTGATTTTAAGTAGTTGTCCGGACTAATGCCCTCAAAGTTTAAATTTTCAACACTTTTCCCCAAAATTTCTGTTCCAGTACCTAAAGTATCTCTTGAAGTGTCCAGTACCATATTTTCATCCAAAAGTTCTGATTTTTTTGACCGTGACTTCAATTTCTCAGTAGATTTCACTACTCTATCTAAGATTTTCTCTGCTTCAAAACCTAAGCAAAGTTCTAGATTCATCGAGCCCAAATGTTTGTCCACAGTGTTCGATCTTGTCACTGGAGACTTACATAAACAATCACTTGGAGCTAAAACTCTTTTCATAATCCTAAAGTTAATGGATTCACCGCGAATTACCTCACTATCATGAGCTCGATTAGCGCCAGGAGACGAAACTGGTTCTGAATCTATTGCAATCCTCTCTGTTAATTCTACAGTTGCTGAAAACCCTAGATCCGTATCCCTCCCAAGATCAACTGCTCTCGAATCATCAGTATAATTGCCATCAACGGCTGCAAGGCTTTTATCATTTGCTACTCCCTCGACCGACCGATCATCCGGATTGTTGACGGCGACCGCTTGCTGCTGTTTCGGCGTCGCTGCCAGAGTGGCCTCTTCGGCCGGAGTATGGAAGATGTCGCTATCGAGGGGCAAATTATCGTCAGTTTCACTCTCCTCAAAAGATTCTGGAGGAGAAACCATCATGATTCCGGTGGAGGCCACGGGGATATCACCGGGCTCGTCATCGGAAAGGGAATCATCCTCTAGTTCGCCTGCGAATCGGCAGCGACGTAAGTGCTCTTCTTGAGAGGAAGAGATATGGCAGAGCTTTGCAATTGAAGCAAAAGGATCGTCGTTCTCCATCTTTGAAGAGGCCAATTTGTTAAGAGAAAGGTTATGTTGTTAAGAGAGAGAGAGAAAGAGTGGTATTTTCAGTTTTGCGCGCGCCCGCGCGTCTGATATTTTAGGGTTGGGATTTTTAAATTGCGGTTCAATTTCCCGCTCTGTTTATAAACGGCGAGTGATGTAAAATGGACGGTGATGAAGCAGTTCGTTCTTTTGGTTTTTTTACCTCCCCAAAACCAAATGACTTGTTTTATCTGCTTGTTAACACCTTACAAACTTTGTTACACGACATGTCTTGTTTGTGTCCGATTTTTTATTTAATATCCACGACTTATTAATTAATATATCACGTTAGCTATAAATTCATCCAATGAAATAAAGTCACATCAATAATTTGTCTACAGTGATCTTTGACTTCAATAATCTATATGTTGAGAAATAAATTATCAAAAAATGATCAATATTGTTGAAAAAAACAAAAGGCAAAATTACAAATATTTAACTTGAATTTTTATCTTGGCAATCTAATCCATGAGGGACAAGTTAGTACAAATAAATATTTAATAACAAGGGGCAAAATCAATATTTAAAGTTAAAAAGAGTAAATTGGAAATAAAAATGAGAAAATATAATAAGTCTTAAGTTTAGACTTGTAAAGAAAAACGGCCAAAATGCTCGCCTATATATACATGTGAAGAGAAAAATTCGGTGACATTCGAAAACTTTTATAAGTGACTCGTTTTATTCTTAAAGTATAAATTTTATTGCAATTCTTATAAATTAGGAAAACAGTATTAAATTAAATTAAATCATTTGATAAATTAATATATTTTTTTTCTATTATGAGAAAGAAATGCCAGCATACAAATTTGAAGATGGGACATTGACATCATGTGTTATGTTGTACCCATCTTTCTTTTTGCCAAGAAAAATAAAAAGTAAACACTAAACTTGGCTTCCAATCATCCTCAATATAACCTGCCTATTTAAAACTCTTTATCATTTTCTTTTTCTTGATTCTAACTTTAAGTCATTTTTGAAACAAATCTTCTGGCATTAACAAGCTCAAAATGTATATTAACATTGATATCATAACCGAAAAAACTGTAACAACAATATATATGATACAGTTGTTATCTACATTAAGTCCTCGTATTATAGATTTTGTACCTTAGGAAAATGTATTCCTACAGAAAATTTTCATTATTTTCTCTTTTCCTTCTCTGTCTTGTGCTCACAGTATTTTGTTCATCGCTCATCGTCCTATCTGATGTGGATCCTACTGAAATTCTCGATCAAACAAAGGATGCAACTGGATCTGCCGCCCATGAAACCAAAAGCATAATCGATGGAGCAACTTCTATCGTAAACGACACCGCGGACGGTACAAAAGGTATAATTGACGAAACAAAAAACGCCGCGGGTAATGTCGTTGAAGGGACAGCTTCCACCCTGAATGATACAAAAACTGCGGCTGAAAATGCTGTTGAGGGAACAACAACCGCCTTAAACGATGCCAAAAGCGCCGCCGAAAATGCTGCCAGTGAAACGGAAAATGCCACCCATGACGCCGTTAAACATGCCTCCAATAATATGACGGGTAATGGAGCTGCCGCTGCCGTTGCTTCAGTAGCTGGGCAGGGACGGGTATTGTGGTTGGCTGCAATTCTTGGTTTGTGGTTTTTCAATATTTGGAATTGAAGGTTATAAAATATAACCATATGTGAAATTTGTGAAATGTATATGCAAATGTCATTTGCTATTGGATAACATCTTGTTATTATTTTCAGAGAGTTTATTTTCTTTGGCTTCGATTATTGCTCGTTTGAAAAAAATATAAAATTTAATAAAGGTTTATTTATTTATAGCATATATTTCTTTATTTTTACATGATTTTATGGGTGATTGTTGTAGCTAAACTATAATTTTAAATTAAGGAAGATCAAATTTTGAGCACTTAAATTAAGTGAGGCAAATAATTAAAGAATGGAAGGTTTAAAATTTTTCTTTTTTTTTTTCAATTTTAAAGATCGTCAATTTCTCTATAATGTGACCTTGTTGTTAATTATTTCATTTAATTATAATTATACTATGGAGCTTATTTTCTTTTCGTTATCATCTCATCTTTTTTTGTTTTAAATGTGGGGAAATAATATTTTTCTTTTTTTTTTCCTAATAATTTTCTTAGCAAAAAAATAGAGGAACATAAAATTTGATAATCTTTTTCCTAATTTTGTAAAAATGGTTTGTGAGGCACTTTCAAACTATTATCTGTCGATTTTGATTTCAAACTCTTATTTCATTGAAAAATACTTGTTTAGATTAGGTACATGGCATAAATATATATATATATATAAGATTTACTATTAATATATTCAAAATAAATTTTCAACTAACACATCTTCAATTATCTAACTAAATATGGAATTATCTTTAAGATAAATATCATTCATTAGTATTCCTAAGATACCCTTTTCTCCTCTATAAATAGGCTCTTCTCTCGTATTCATTTCATTTCACAAGCCAAATCTCTGAAGAAAATTTAAACAAGACTACTTAAAAAGTGTGAGGAAAATTGTTCTTCTAATTGTTTCACTTTGCCCTTTGTATTTTCCTTTCCTCCTTTTTTTGTGCATAGATGGTCTTATTGATGCTCATTTTACAAAGTCCAAAATGATACTACCGTTTTTGTGATTTGATCATTTTATTCATCTTCCAATCCTATTAAAGTCGAATTGACGAATGAAAGAGTATTTATTGTCTACAATCAAATGCTCAATCCAAGTTTAAATGCTCGAAAAAGGTACACTTTCTCAAATGTCGTTTTTTTTTTTTTTTTTTTTTTTTTTTTTATTTGATTTCATTTTATTCATCTTCCCAATCCTAATTAAAGTCGAATTGACGATGAAAGAGTATTTTAAGTTGTCCTCAATTCAAATGCTCAACTCAAGTTTAAATGCTCGAGGTACACTTCTCAAAATCGTCGTTTTTTTTTTTTTTTTTTTTTTTTTTTTTTTTTTTTTTTTTTTTCATTTATTTACCTCTTGCAAGTAGTTGTTTTTAATAACATTAAAGGTTATATTTATGCAAATTTTACTACTAATGACTTTTTACTTTTATTTAGTGATTTCAGTAATAACTGGATGTAAGTCTGGACAACTTAGATTGTGTTCGATAACAACTTGTCAAGTAGCTATCAAAACACTGAACACTAAACGCTACTTTTTTAGTTTAAACTAACTTTTAGGAGTTAAGATAACATTTTTGTGAAAAGTTAATTCAAACAACTAACAGCTAAAACAACTTATTGTCATAGGTTTTTTTTTTTTTTTTTTTTTTTTTTTTTTTTTTTGTCATAGAAGATATTTCTTAATAAAGAATAATAAATTACAACATATTATATCATAATTATATATTTTATATATGTTTAACCTGAGTTTTATTTTATATTTTATACCAAACAATAAATCTTGTAATATATTCTTTAATAAATAATAAGAAATTATATATTTTTGGCAGAATAGGTTACTTGTAGGAAATAATTATAATAAATCCAATTAAAAATAATAGCTAAACGTATCATGTTCTTATCATATTAACCGATCAAAGTTAGATTACCTTTATTTTTAACTAATAAAATTACAATTCTTAAAAGATATTATATTCTTCACCATATTTACTAAATAATCTAATTTTTTAATTTATAATATATTTATAACAATAAAAATTATTCTAATTAGATAATCAAATTTTTATGAAAATAAAATTACCTGTTAATCAATTTAAAATTTTTTATAATGATTTAAATTTAATTAACTTAATTTTTTCTCATATAATATAATAGCATAAATTGTCTATATTACACACATATGAGAAACCGATATTAACATTTATAATAATTGGAATATTAGTGTCCCAATCCATTTCCATGGACCGGACCGGCACTAGGACCTGGGTGAACTTAAAGCTCCCGAAGCCCGTAGTAAGCCTATATTATGCAAATCTCATTTACTATTCATAATTGTGGATACAGGCCCAATAATTTATTTCACCTATATTGATGCAAATCTCATTTACTATCATAATTGTGGATACAGGCCCATAATTTATTTCAATTAATGTATCAAGTCAGTTCACCTACAACCCACTAGATACAATTGCGGACTTCTAACCTGTACATTTACATCATCATTTATTTATCGTTTACAGTCTTCTAATACTTATATCTCACTCCATAGGATTTTTCTTTCTTCTATTACCTGGAAAAAAAAATAGGTGAGGCAGGGGTGCAACTCCATAGGGCTTTCCTTTCTTTCTATTACCTGAAAAAAAATAGTAGGCAGGGGTGAGCGCCAAACTCAATGAGTAGGGTTAGATGACCCTCTCGCCCCACATAATCACACAGATGCTAAAATATTTTTATCTGGTCACCGATTTAATTATATGATCATGCAGTTTGTCATACAAATGGTAATAAAAAAGCAATCACAATTATGATCACCTTCATATAATCATATCACGTGGAAATTAGCCAATTAGTCAGTGGCACCACCTAAAACCCCAACGAGCCGTCCTCACACATGGCTCGCCCTCTCATACATGTGCAGCAGGGAGCCGACCCCCATACGGCCAACTGGTCTAATCCTCACTGACCAGTCCTCTCATTGTTTTTCCATTCTCTCTCTTTTTTAAAAAAAAAAATGCCAACAGGAGGCAAGACAAAGTTGGTATCAGAGCATAAGTTGGGCCTTAGGAATCAATTGCGGAACTTAGGAAATTGAAACATAGGACTCCTATGTTGGGATCGGTCGTAACCGACAAAGGAGATGTAGTCTGGATTGAATTCCATTTTAGTGCCGGTGGACGCATCGCGCACGAGGATGGGAGGAAATCATTATTAATATTATTATTATTAATAATATCACATCATATTCAGAATCCATATCACATAGACCGTCCTCACAAATCCATGGTGGTCCACATCATTCCAATTCCACACAAACAAGGCACAGCAATATCACATCACAGGTAATCAAACATTATTTAATATCAACAAATAGTGCATCACAATATAGCAGTAATGCATGATAACATTTTAAGTCGTGGAAATGCATGAATGCAGGCGAATGAGGCGAATTATCTATACACTACTCACTGTTCTGTTATTGTCTTCTAAAGGGACTGTTTTTCTAGGCGCACATGCTTCGAGCCTTTGTCTTTGCCTTTCGGAGTTTATAAACCCTTTAACAATAAAACTTATAATTCCTAAGTAATGAATTTCATTCGAAAAGATTATATTCATATTCGTTTCATTAGTTTTGGTAATCAGTTTTAATTCCCTTAGTAATTAATTATATATATATATATATAGTATATATATAATTTATAGACATACATTGGGACTGCTTTTCTAGCCACATGCTTCGAGCCTTTGTCCTTGCATTTTGGAGTTTTATAAACCTTTAACATAAACAATAAAATTCTAAGTAAGAATTCATATTCGTTTACTAATTTTGGTTACTAGTCATTTAATTCACTTATTAATTTAAACTTTATATATTTATGATTATATATTGTGTTTCCTTATTTATTTATCACTCTAATAATCTTATTCTATATTTTTAATTTCTATAAACAATTTAATATCTATAAATAATTTAATTGCTATAATTAGTAATTTCGGCAGCATTTCCCCTAAAATTCAACTATCCACCAATTAACTCAATCAATCATTTTATCAAAATTTCACAGTCCACCCATTGGGTAATCAATCAATTTAACTTTTCCCTTCCTCCATCTGAACATCAATATCCACACTACCTTACATCCATAATTTATAAATTAATGTTACCTACCAAATAATCTACCTTACATCCATTACTAGAATTCAATTTTAATTAATCAAGTAATTTTTAATTGATAGATCAATACTAATTTAAATTACTTCTAGTCAGAATTGCTAAAATTAAATTAACTATCCGAGATTACTAAAATCAAATTAATTAACTAAAATTACTAAAAATTAATTAATTTCTGAGAATTAATAAAAATTAATTTATACCCAATTATATTCTTGCCGGAGTTTATTTGATCGGTGACGAAAACTACGCGTGCCTAATTAAATTAAATTAATTAGTTAAAAATTTCTAAAATTAATTTAATTAACTAAAAATTTACTAACATTAATTTATACCGCAAAATTAATTAGTTTTTTCGTCGCAGATCGCTAGATCTGAGCTTTACGCGTGCCAGATCGAAACTACGCGTGTTGGAAGCGACTGGACCACCTGAGATCGATGCTCACTTGGACAGATCAGGGGAGGAGCAACCTTCTGTCCCTGCTTGGCTTGAACGGAGAGAGGCGTCGGCAATGGCGGAGCTACTGCAGTGTGGAGCAGCGGCGAGGTGGCGCGACGCGGCTGAGCTCGTGCTGGTGGCTTGCGTTTCTGCTGGAGCTGCTGGGACGTGATGCAGACGCAGTCACAGGGAAAAGAAAAGAAAAAGAAAAGGAAAAAGAGAGGAGGAAGTGGTGGCGTAATGGTGCCGCTGGAGGTGTTGTAGAAATGGTGAGGGAGAGGGAATGGGATAAGCGTGGAGATAAAAAGAAAGAGGGCTTCTAGAAGGTTTGGACTGGTTCGATTCAATTCTGATTCGATTCAGCTCAAATCTTGGTTTTTCGTTTGATTTTTGATTTTTCAAATGGTTTTTGATTCGGTTTATCACTGTACGAATTATTAATTTGCATTTAAATAATTAAATACATTTCCAGGCTGTCAGTTTATTAAATTAAAATGGAAAATCTTTGAAAATAAAAATTCGAATGAAAAAATTTGCCACGTAATCAAACAGAATGAAAAACAGTTATGTCGGCATTCATGGTGACGTCATCTTGATTGGAGTTGCGTGACGCAACTGTCAGTGTGGAGAATCGGAGATGGTCAATCGGTTAATGTCTGGACCGAACCGTGGCTATTGCGGTGTCACGACCCGTTTCCGTGGGCCGGACCGGCACTAGGGCCCAGGTAAGCTTAAGGCCCCCGAGGCCCGTAGTAAGCCTGAAACATAAAAAAAAATTATTATCTCAATATTTTATTAAATCTCGGCCCAATTTATTAGCTACAACATTCCACATTTAATATGGGCTCACATAAATATATCGTCTATGTTAATACACGACTAATTGTATACAAATTTCTTGGTGCAGGCGTTGGTCGTAATCCAAGCTTTGTATGGAGAGGGATTTGTGCAGCCAAGGATGCTATATGTTCAGGTTTTCGGTGGAGAATCGGAGATGGTCAACATAGCATCAAATATTTATTGGTCTAGGAAATTTTCTTTATAGCTCTGCGACGAAGGAACATAGCTTAATCCGAATTAAAGAGAAACTTACTTCCTGAAAAAATTGTTAAACAAGACTGTTGGAGTTTGTTTCCTAAGGAAGCATAATTATTGCACAACACAAGCGAAGTAGGGTCGGAGAGACGAGCGCAGTCACACAAATAATGTAAACATATCAATCTGTCATCCGACCGTAATATGCCTCACGCAGCCAGTTACAACATAATGAACAAATAATCATTAGCACTCACAAATAAAACAATCTCATATAGATCACACTCACGTGAATTAGTCAGTGGGCACCACTGAAACCAACGAGCCACGTCCTCAACATGGCTCGCACCTCTCATACATTGTGCAGCCAGGGAGCCGATCCCCAATTACCGGCCAACTGGTCTAACTCCTCACTTAACAGTCCCTCATTGTTTTACCATTCTGCTTTTTTCTTTTCATACCAACAGGAGGCACACCGTGTGGCTCCATCCAATCTAGATCAATCAAGTGGATCACAAAGGAGCCCACCCTGCGGGCGTAAAATCAATCTAGATTTCAAGGTGCGCAACAACAAGCGAAGCCATCCTGTGACATTCCCATAAATCTTATTATCATCCAGGTGCATCGAAGGGGGGCGCCGATATCTCATTTCCGCGAATGGGTACAAATGTATATATCATAACGGATCCATATCACAGACCGTCCCTAAACCAAAACCCATGTGTCCACTTCATTCGCCAAATTCCACACAAACCAATAGCATAGCATTTTCACAACAATAATTCAAACATTGCAATCCAATGCATGACATAATTGATCAGTTGAACCCGTAATGCACATGCACGATGTAGACATCCATTCTCAAATGCAATTAAATAATTAAAATAAATAACCATTAACATAAATATAACAATAAAATAAATAATAATAATAAACATAAAAGAAAATAATTAAACTACTATAAATAATTTAAATGAATATAAAGATAATAATAAATAAAGTAATTATTAAGAATAAACAAGACAATTAAATCAATATAATAATGAAATAATATAGAAATATTAATAATTCGATGAATAATAATGAAAATAATTAATAGTAGAGCATTCCTATTTAATTATTTATTAGTTATAGAATTAATGCTAAATAGACTTTTATTAATTGTGTATTACTTAAACTAGTCCTAAAGTTCCGTATCGAAATTATCGGCAGATCTCCCCTAAAAATAGACTATCTACCTTGTTTAAATATCAGCAGATAATATAATATTATTAAACACCGAGCCCATCCGTCGGGCAATACAATCCAAGTTCAAATACCCGTCCGCCTTTAAATGACATTATCGCCATTTAACATCCATAACAACTTACATGAGCTTAATTCATATTCTAAATAACATCATTTATCAATCATTGGATACATATGTATGTATATACAAGCATATGTGCATAATTAACTTTCACGATTAATTCTGATTCCATATCTTTTCATTGGTACCTAGGCATGTAAGACTTCAAGCTTAACCTCAGTTACCACTTATTAGAACAAGAAGTTTTACTCTATTCAAATTTACACATTATGTTCTAAGTATCTCGTATCATCCAACTAACAACATCAATCAAATATTAATCTTTACACATTATGTTCTAAGTATCTCGTATCATCCAACTAACAACATCAATAATTAATCACCAATACAAAATTTTAACTTTACTTTATAAGGTTAAGCAAATAACTAAGTAGATAAACAATTGAAAATTTATATTGGCTTAACTTTTATATCCTTCTACTGTAACTATATATATATATATATATATATACACCTTTAATAATTATATGCAATTATAATTTATAAACTCTTCCATTTCCTTGTTATTAATTTAGATCTCGAAATTCCATTTAATGATCCATGAACCATCATCTATTGAATATGAATAAGCATTGATGAATATCTATCGACCTGGAAATTAAAAAAAATACACTTCCTCACACTTCCTCATCCATATTTGTCTTTCTACCACAATTTAATATATTTGCTGCCATTACACAGATTCGTAGTTTTTCTACGCTAAAATCTTAAATTGCACACCAACTAACCAATCTGTTGCAAATATTAGACCTACTACCTCATATGTACACTATCAAGCAATAATTTGAAGGAATAATTAAAAATAAAATTCCTAAATTCCAGTTTAATCTCATAGCTCACAGGCTGGCAAATTCACTAATCAACTTACCTTACTAAGAGAAAGGTTGGAAATTGCTTACCCAGTTGCGAAAATGTCGGAAAAGTGCAAGAAAGAAAAGAAATGCCACTGTCCCTGTCGAAGAATGATATCGCAACTCCTTGCGATTTGCTGCACCAGTACGACGATGGAGAAGGGGAGAGCGGAGCTACACCGTCGATGGGGATGAAGCTGGAGTCGATCGATCGCCGGAGAGTTGAGCTAAAGAGGCGACGCGATTTCCGATCACAAACTCACAAGTCTGCTGTGAGTGTAGTACGCCAGAAACGAAAGGAGAGAGAGAGGAAGGGAGGCGAGGGCTGCTGCAGTGAGGAGGCGACAACGAGGTTGGCGATGGTCTCGGATGGTCGGAAAAAGAAAGGGAGGGGGAGGGGTGTCGCGCACCTGGCGCTGGCGCAAGGAAGAAGAAGGGAAAAGAGAAAAGGAGGAAAAGAAAAAAAAAGAAAAAGAAAAAAAAAAGAAAAGAAAAAAAAAATCTTGGGGCTTCTAGACCATTCCGGTTCGTACCAGAAGGAGACGAGTCGATCGATGCCCTTCTCTCGAACTGTGCTTTCCTGAAACGGCAAGCTTTTGCTGGAGGTCGAGGAACGAGAACTGTCAACAGAGACAGTCTCGTTTTCGCACCGCCAGAGGCTTTGTTTGCGTGGAGGGGGGCCGAAAAGGAGCCAGCGGCGTTAGGAGAGTCGACGACCGCCACTTCGCCCTCGTTTCAATCTCCCCCCCTTATAAAAATTCGTCCTCGAATTTTAGAGATGAGCAAGAAATAGGAATCCAACTAGAAAAGAAAGCATGTAAGGATATTTAACAAACAAATTATCATTTGATTGACATCCAAGAATAAATGAATGAAAGGTTTCATTATAACTCAAAATGTATTCGTTCAACCATCTATTACATTTATTGTCACTTGATTAAAACTCACAGGAAACTTAAGTCTATTACTATGACCTCGAATTTCTATTGCCAACAATCCTATACTCCAAATTTAGTAGCAACTCAACTTCTGTACCCGAAATTGCCTACCTGACCATTCCAACATTCGTGTTTCTATCTTGACTGCGAACTACCTACTTACCTATAGCATTGTTATCATTATCATTACCACCCCTTTATCTTATCCCACCGGCCCTGTGATATAAATAGACAATTTCCGGCACTAGGGCTCAGGTAAGCTTAAGGCCCCCGAGGCCCGTAGTAAGCCTGAAACACTAAAATTTCTTCATGAAAACCCAATGAATAGTATTTACGAAACAGAAAACGAGCTTGAATTTAAGTTTACTTCTAATATCAAGATTTAAACTGTTTAAGTTACATGATATTGATTAATTCAACTTTTCTTTAATCAAAAAAATTTTCAAAAACTTATGTACTTTAATGTCAAAACTTAAAGAAAAAAAATTCGTCTACGACTTCCGGTTGATCTATCTATATCATTAGGGCACTTCGAAATAACTGTCTGATTAATCCTCGTTAATCGGATTTATGCTAACAACCCCAACATTCAATCAAGACTTATTACTTACTTTCAATCTAATATCACATCACAATACTAATTCTTTCTATGAAAATCTCGTAGTCTAACTAATGCATCCTTAACAACAAATATCAACCAAACGAGAGTCTCTTAGTTTCTTATCGTCGAATGCATATATACTAAATAAAAAACTTCACTTTTCTGTCCAAGGTATCATGGACTTAGAATTTTCTTAATCTACAGTCTTAAACATTTTAATTAAATGTTCTAATTAGCCATACGTCTACCTATCACTAACTGAGTCAACGTATATTAACTTACTATCTCATTTGGTCTTCATCAATCAAAATATTCCCTACCTTAATCTCGCTCAAGCAGA